TAACGTACTATAATTTGTGCTCCTAGGTCATGAGAAGGGAGGGCACTCCAATAAATACACATCAGTTAAGACAATCTGCTGCTGTTAGAAAGGTTAACGTGAGTGGCTTTGAATTGAGTCCACGCATGTATAGTTTGCTCTCCAGTCTGCTTTTGTAGGGATGGTTCTTTCCACTTTCCCACCTCTGCCCTTCTTTCCTGTCTAGTCCTCTTAGAAGGCTCTACTGCTCCTAAGACTGGTTTAGTGGTGCTTTGAAGGGTGATTCTTTCCGTTACCACCTGACTCCTTAACTCACCCCAGCACTTGAAGGCAGGTCTAGAGCTCTGGGTTAGTGCCCTAGAGCCACAGTTGCAAAACACCACTGGACTAGGACCCACTCTACTCCACATGACCTCCTGTTAGCTTACCTGATAATACCTTTGAAGGCTACATATCCAATCAAAGTCAGATTCACAGACACCAGGGGTTAGACTTCAACATTAATTTTGAAGATTCAGTCTCTTAAGTGGTAGCTCCTTGTGCAAAAACTGCACCTTCTACACATATTCATCTAAGAACTCATACTTCCACTTGGTCTATTTACTTACTTGGCTGGGCTTTTTTAGTTCTTGCTGAGCCAGGGCTTGGTCCCAGCATGAAGAATGAAGGCTTTAATGGATTTGCTAAGGCAGGCTGTATTCAAACAATTTCTCTTGCCTGAGGAAAGTGAGAATTTAATGGGAATTTAAGTACATGCTATATTATCAATGTGAGAACAAACTTTTTTTTTTTTCCTTTTGAAATAGGACAGTTCTTTTATTTTGTTAGAAAAAGGTAGCCACAGATTTCCTGTTGTTGTGACTTTATTCTAGCCCTCTTTGGGAGAAAATTCAAGAAAAGGGGTAGGCAAGGTAACCAAATGGAAATACTATCCTTCCTCCCCTGTCTTAGTCTCCTAGTCCTGCTGTAACACAAATACCACAAGAGGGTGGCTTTAAAGAACACAGATTTATGTTTCACAGTTCAGGAGACTAGAAGCTCAAATAACTCTGGAGAAAGCTGTCAGCTCTGGGGGAAGATCTTGCCTGTTCCAGCATCCTGTGAATTCGTTGGCAGTGTCTTCACCATTTTTTGCTTGTTTGTCTCTCTCTTCTGCTCCTTATAACTCAAAAGCGATTAGATTTAGGCCACACCCTACATAACAAATACAACCCAAATCCCAAATGGACTTAAATCCACAGATACATGAACTTAGATTCTAACATATATTAGGGAGGTTGGATGGGGGAGGCATCACACTTCATTCTATAATGTCTATTTCTAACATTCTGTGATTCTATAAAGGATGACCAGAACAGATATTACTTAATGCTGTGTGCTAGGCATTTTGTATATATTTTCCCATTTTACTGAGGAGAGCACTGAGACCTAAAATATCTCAAGTTCACATGCACAGCTGGGATCTACACATAGATTGTGACTTCTCAAGCAAATTGTTCTTCCCTCTACACGATGGTTCTCAGATTTTTTTTTTTTCTTTTGCCAGGGAACTCTTTATTCAAATAAAGCTGTGCCTTGTAGGCCAGTGTGACAGATAATGAAGGGACTTTCCCTTGATCAGAGGCCCATTTTTTCTCACCACAGTGACCTCCACAACACCTCAGAGAAACCCACAGGGCTCCGGGAGATAAGATTTTTAAAGCACTGCAGTGTATGGTGAAAACTGTAGCAATCCAGAGACCTTGACAGCAGGTACTCTTGGAATAAGAACAGATAGGCTCAGAGGGAATGTGATGAGTATAAAATCTTAAAAGGTAGAGAAGTCTGATACAGACTTAATTTCTCTGCCTAGAGTATTAGAATCAAGTACAGTTTTTGAGGTTTGTTATCCAAGAGATGATACCTTTACAAGTATCCCTTGTTATCCCAGTGGAGTTGGATCCTCGTTTTGGACAGTGAGAGTTTGGAGAGTGAGTCCCTGATACCTGGGATCATGGATGTTTACAGGATTGTAAGGAGTCACTCACTCCACCAACAGTTGTGGTTCAGTGTACAATTCAGTGGCATACCATACATTCACAGTTTTGTACAACCATCACTGCTGCCTAGTTTGAGCTTTTTGTTAATCCAAAAGGAAATGTTAGGATTTTTTTAATGTAATATTCACAGTTTTGTACAACCATCACTGCTGCCTAGTTTGAGCTTTTTGTTAATCCAAAAGGAAATGTTAGGATTTTTTTAATGTAATAATCATGTGAAAAGTTGTCATTTTTGTGTCATCAAGAGCCTCATACAAACTTGGCCATATTGCTGTTTTCATATTGGTCTTTCCTGTACGTCTTTCTAAATAACGATGTATATTGCTTTAGGCAGAGTGGTGAATGTATCAAGCATGGTTAGTCTCAGAGCCCTTAACTCCTGCAGCCCAGAGCTGCGACAGAAGTTCCGTAGTGAGACCATCACAGAGGAGGAGCTGGTGGCACTCATGAACAAGTTTGTGGAAGATACAAAGAATGGGGTGCACCAGAAGGAGGGCTGGCCCAACACCGCGTATGGCGTGTCGAAGATTGGTGTCACAGTCCTGTCCAGAATCTACGCCAGGAACCTGAGCGTGCAGAGGAAAGGTGACAAGATCCTCCTCAATGCCTGCTGCCCAGGGTGGGTGAGAACTGACATGGCAGGGCCCAATGCCACCAAAAGCCCAGAAGAAGGAGCGGAGACCCCAGTTTACTTGGCCCTTTTGCCCTCAGATGCTGAGGGGCCTCACGGGCAGTTTGTTTCAGAGAAAGCAGTTGAGCAGTGGTGAGCTTGACTCACAGCACCATTCTTGGGCACCATTTTGTTCCTGACCTGATTAAAACACAGGGCACATAACCCTTGTCCACAGCATCCCTAACAAGCTCACACTTTAAGCTGCCTGCTGGTTCTGTGAATTCTTTTGTGATTTCTTCCATGATGTAGGGAAATAATATATGTAATTGGTGAAAATTATGACTGAGAATCAATAGATGACTAAAATTGTTCTTAATAAATACTTATTTTTGTAGATTGTATGCTAAAGCAGCTCCTTAAAAAACCTTAAATAAATAAACCAGTTGCTGTTGATTTGATTCAAGCCCATGTGTGTCAGAGTTGAACTGTGTTTTCCGTAGATTACCAGGCCTTTCTTCTGAGGTGCCTCTGGGCAGACTTGAATCATCAGCCTTTCAGTTAGCAGCTGAGTAAATTGTTAGAAATTTTATATAATTTAAAAAATCAGATCAAAGAAAGTAACAGTATAGCTCAGAGCTTTTTCTGCAAAGTTTCAGAGAGTAAATATTTTGACCTTTGCTGGCCACATGGTCACTCACTGTCATAGCTACTCAGATCTGCCATTGTACCAGGACAACATGTTAACAAATAAGTACAGCTGGGTTTGGCCCACAGGCTATATTTTACCAACCTTTGGTGCAGCATGAACACTGACAAAGGCAAGACATGGAGGTCTAACCTTGCCAGGCAATTCTTTCTATCAGAGCAATTGCAGCTACAGTGGTTGCCAGGTGTGAAAGGAGGGCTAGACCCACAACTGTTAGTACAATCTGTGAGTCAAGACAGAAGCAGTCACTTTCTCAAGACAGCTCAAATGGAATATAGAGTTCCTGTCTGCCTTTTCTTCTGTAATTCACTGAATAATGTAAAGTAGCTCTTTCAGACAGTAGTTAATATTAAATGACTTTTTTAAAAAAATTACTCTGGAGTAAATGCTGACTCATGCTGACCTCATGTGTCAAAGTAAAACTGCTCCATAGGGTTTTCAGTGGCTGGTTTTTCATAAGTAAATCAGGCCTTTCTTCTGAGACACCTCTGGGTGGACTCAAATTGCAAACCTTTTGGTTATAAGCTGAAGGCATTAACCGTATTACTTTAAATCAGGTGAAAAGAGAAGTGCTCAGTAAATGTTAAGTGCTGCTGCTCTTTTGAAATCAGCTTCTGGAATATCTCTTCTCTAGGGTTGTTGCTCCATTTTGACTAGGACCAGGCACTGACCTGCTCTTGATGAAGCAAATTATTCTTCTCTGATCAGATTGATTTCTGACTCTAAAATAAGGAAATTTCCTATTCTGCAAAAGATACTAAATATATATATTTTTTATTTCTACCCCTGTTTTAGTCACAAGCCTAAGTGGATTTTATAAAGAAAGGCAGGATAACTGACACCATATATCATGAAGAGGAGGCAGCTGTGCTGGGACATGAGCAAAATTAGGACTCCTGACTTGAACCTGTCATTGCCATGTTTTTCTTTGAGACAGGGACCACACCCAGACTTGATTTTCTCTCATTGTCCTTGAAATTTTACCACTCCTTTCCCAGAAGCTTCTATAGTAGCTTGGTAAACCACCACCATTGAGTCAATGCCAAGTCATAGCAACCCTATAGGACAGAGTCAAACACCATAGGGTTTCCGAGGCTGTAAATCTTTATGGAAGCAGACTGCCTTAATCTTCATCAGTAAGTGCCTCAAGTCATCTTCACTTTCAGCAAGCAAAGTTGTGTCGTCAGCATATTGCAGGTTGTTAATGATTCTTCCTCCAATCCTGATGCTACATTTTTCTTCATATAATCCAGCTTCTCGGATTATTTGCCCAGCATAGAGATTGAATAAATATGGTGAAAGGATACAACCCTGACGCACTCCCTTCCTGATTTGAAACCATGCAGTATCGCCTTGTTCTGTTCAAATGACAGCTTCCTGGTCTATATACAGGTTCCGCATGAGTACAATTAAGTATTCTGGAATTCCCATTTTTCTCAATGTTATCCACAGTTTGTTATGATCCACACAATCGAATGCCTTTTCATAGTCAAACAGAAACAAACATATTTCTGGTATTTTTTGCTTTGAGCCACATCCTGTTTTGTATCATTCACTGCAATTTCCACGATACATCCTAATGGCTTTTTGCCCAATATGAACTGCAGCTTCAGAACAATGTTCTAGACCCCAAAGGAGTTCTGCCCCAGCCTGTTGCCATGTTGGTCCCAAAAAATATCCATGATTTAACATTGCATTTGAGACAGAACCTCATTCTCAGAATTCAGAGGATCTGCATTTAAGGTCTTTGATGTTACTTGACACCAAAATTTGTGTGATTGAAATTGGACTACCTCGGGTTTAGAATTTACCCTGGAGGTAGATGGGTGCTCTAGACTTGCCATGATAGTGTACATTGAGGCCAGCAACATGACCTACCTGTCAAATGATATCATATTCAAAACTAGGCTAACTTCAGTATTCTTTGAGATGCTCATGTCCTTCCTCCCACAATAGGTCATCCTATCACAACAGGAGCTCTGGTAGCATAGTGCCTAAGGCACTTGACTGCTAACCAGAAGGCTGGCAGTTCAAACCCACCAGCCACTCCTCAGAAGGTTGGGCAATCTACTTCTGTTAGTGATACTGCCTCAGAAACCCAAGGAGGGGTCGCTATGAATTGAGTCTGACTCGATGGCATGTAACAACAACAACCATCCTTGAGTCACCTACATAGTTAGTATTGTCCTGAGGTTGCTGAGCACATACATGTCTCACCCATTTCACACTGCCACCTCTTCAGCAAGCTGTTACCTCTCCAAAGCTGTCTACAGCCAGGGTAGTGGAGGATCTTCTATTTGACCAACCTCCTGATCAGCCCAGAAAGCCATTTGGGGACTTGGAGTTCCTCAGCCAACAGTACTCTCCAGTCAGCTCCAAGACAGGGACAGGAGCCTACACGTAGAATCTGACCGTCTACTATGAGGTCACCAGAATCTATAAGGAGATAATCAGCATTCCGTGAGGACTGGGTCACATCATTTTGTTGCTGTCAAGACCAGTTTTCAAGAGGTCTCAACCCCAGTTATCATCCCTCACAAGAAGCACTACACTGAGAAGTGAGTACTCCCTACTTAGATGGAAGGCCCCCAGGATTTGCACACAAAGCTTGTCAGTAGCCAGCTTCAGCTCCAAGAAGTCTTATATTTGCTGGCAGCTGGTGACACCTTCACCACAGAGGCAGCACCTCTGCTCCATTAAGATGTGCAGGCAGACAAACACCTGCACGCCTGAGCAAAGGATGACCATTCTGACATTCGTGAGCTTCATATCAGCAGGAGCCAATGTGTCCTTCAGCTTAGGGTTCTCCACTAACCAGACTGATGTTTTAAGCACTAGCTTGAGATCAGGGTCTTTCATACCAAAAAAATTCCGAAAATTAAACTTAGAGACAAAATCCAGGCCTTCCGTTGCACTGGCCTTTCGGAAGGAGTCCTTCAGGCTGCCCAGCTTTCTTCCTTACACCCACAGTCAGGGTCTCCAGTTCTACACAAACAGCAGGCGGGGACCTCTGCCCACTGCTCTGATCTTATGTTCCCCTGTAACCACTAGGGCATCACCATCTCAGTCACTATGGACTTTTCTAACAGTGCCAGCCTCTTTTATCTTTTCTTGGATTCCTACCATGTTGTGTTCTTTAAGCCCCTTGCACTGCTGGCAAGGACTGCCAATGAAATTATAACAGACTTTGTAATCTGTCCCAGGAATTTGCCACCCACCTGTATCTTTGCTCCCATAACCAGTCATCAGCACAGCCAGACTATTTTCTATTACATATCTAACACCATTCAACATTCAGCCTTCAGAGTGCTGTGAAGCCCACCCTCCCCTCCCCATTATTCAGCTTAAAAAGTGAAGTAGATAGGCTGGTCCTCCAACAGTTTTGGAGACTTGCATACCTTTAATAATAGTTACACTGCTGCATTCTCATCAGAGCTAGCCCTGAAGACCCAAGCCAGTCTCAATGCATACATGCTTTGCTGCCTCATCATTTGTTAGACTGAGAGTTCAATAGTGCTCATTAGCTTATTTTTATATGCAGGAGCTTTAAGGTTTTTCTTTTTGGAGTCTTACAAGTTATTTATGTAAGATTTGATACATGATTGTCTGAACTATGGAAACAGACAGAATTTTCACCTAGATTGCTAAAATCACTCCCTCCTCCATGCTCTGAGAACTGAGAAGGTCTGTTTAGAAGGTGTTAACAGATGGCATTGTGGTTGAACTCAGTGAAAGGAGTGACTTTTGTAGGAGTTCTGCTGTTTCTTGGTGAGAATTACTTTCCTTACTCTGATTGCTGCTCCTGTAAGGATTGGTAGAAAACCAACAAGTGCATCTGTCTGGAAGGGGTTCCCATCCCACTGAGGGGAGCCTCATCATCTTCTGCACAGATGAACAGCCTCTACTCTCCGCCTGATGGTGAGAGCCCAAAAAGCCACATGGACGTTCAAAATTGTTCCCTTTTCCTTTGGCCCCAAATCTTAAAGGTCTTGTGTGTAAAAATAAGCTAATGAGCACAACTGTATTCTATCTGGATGACGCTTTTGTGTGAGGAGAAACTCTTTTTGTTTTGTCCTTTTGTTCCTTAAGCATGTTTTGGGGCTTGACCTCAGCAGGCCCACTGCTAACAACCATGCCCAGGTTCCATGAAGTTCTCCTTATCATGCAAAGTCATCATCCAGAGTTGTTGTCAGGCAAGTGTCCTTGCCTGGGGTAGGAGTCTTCCTTTGCTTTTTTGAGACAGCACCATGATCTGCCTATGAACAAAGACACAATGTTATTTTTTGCCCTTTTTATACAACATTACGACTTGGGTAAGGAGCACCTCAGTCTTCAAAGTGACATCTTTGCTCTTTAACACTTTAAAGAGGTCTTTTACAACAGATTTTCTCAGTGCAATATGGCATCTGATTTCTGGATTGCTGCTTCCATGGACATTGATTATGGATCCAAATAAAATGGAATCCCTGACAACTTCAATCTTTTCCCCATTTATCTTGATGCTGCTTACT